TCCCGCCCGGGCTTCCCCAACATTAAAAAACATGGCAGGGGTGGGCAAGTGCCACTCTGCTCCCCATGACTCACAGCCCCAGCTGCCAGCTGCACCCTTGGGGGCAGGGCCCCTGGCTCCACCTGACCCAGCCCCAGCAGGGTGAGAAGCCCGGCTCTGGGTGGGGAGGGAGGGCTGCCCCTGGGCCCAGCCTCTGCCGCTAATGTTAAGTGCTGGGGTTCAGGGGGGTAATTAAGGGGTGTTATGTCACTTTCCAGCTGCCTCTCACATCCCCTGAGTCACATGTCACTTGGGAAGGAGGGCAGAGGCCCGGGTGACACAGAGGAGGGAGGAAAGGCGTGGGTGGACCATCGGGGCTGGAGGTTGGAACCAGGCCTCCGCCCCAGACCACAGGGCTCCCAGGAGGGGTTGTCTGGGTCAGGACTCTGCCCTGTGCCACGGGGGGCCTCAGAAGCAATCCCAGGAGGACAAGTGTCAGCCGGACACCCCAAGGGCTTCCTCCAACCAGTACCGTCCATCCGCGGGAAGTCCTGCGAGTTGAGAGTCTGTCCCTGGGAGTCCTGTGCCCAGGGGCCAGGTGCCGGGTGCTGGTCACACGCAGGTGCAGTAGACCTGTACTTTCTCAGCCAGGTCTCCGATGGCTCTGGAAGGACGGTGTCACTCCCTCGCACAGAGCAGGGAGCTGGGAGGTGGGCTGCCCAGGCGTGCACAGCCGAGGCGGGGGGCGGGGGGCAGCCAAGCAGGGTCCAGGCAGGCGGGTCCAAGCCCGAGTTCTCGACCACAGCCACCAGCTGGCTCCAGCCCACTGTCCCGGGGCCAGGGATCACTCTGCGGTCAGAGAAGGGTTATCAGAGACCCGGGAGCTGTGCAGTAACGGAGGGGAGAAGGAGTCCGGGCAGCCCGACTGCCTCCGTGAAGCCTCAGAGGAAGTGTGTGTCTGTCCCAACGTCACAGGCCCCAATGTCACAGAATGTCACAGCAAGCACGCGAGTTCTGTGCTGCCGCCCTGTCCCTGTGTTAAACCCAACCTGAGTCACTCAATTAGAAAAAGAACCCAGGACTTGAACAGGCATCTCTGAAGAAGATTTACAAAGGGCCAATGTCCTCGTAAGAAAGCTCTCGGCCTCATCTCGGCCTTCGCCAGGGAAAGGTGAACCCAGACCTCAGCACCCAGCGGGAGGGCGGTCAGAAAAACACAGACAATAACAAGTGCTGGCGAGGACACAGAGACACCGGAACCCGTGTGCACGGCTGGTGCGCCTGCAACGTGGTCCCATGACTTTGGAAAACAATCTGGCAGGTCCTCAAGAATAAAGCCCAGCCCAGCAAATCTGCTCCTAGGTGCGTGTCCACGGGAATTGAAAATGTATGCACCCCCCCCCCCGCCAAAAAAAAACAAAAACAAAAAAACTGTGCAGGAATCGTCCTAGGAGCATTTCTCATAATAGTAAAAGAAAGAAGGAAAATGTCCATCAACTCAAGAATGACGGGCCTAGCCATCTAATGGAATATTTGTGATGGATATTATTTGGCAATAAGAGGAATGAGTACTGACTCACGCTACCACGTGGGTGAAACTTGGAAACATGGTAAGTGAAAGAGCTGGACACAAAGGACACCTATTTTATGAATCCGTTTATATGGAATGTCCAGAACTGGCAAATTCATAGAAAGGTTAGTGGTGTCTAGGGACTGCAGTGGGCAGGAGAGGGGACCGACAGCCAATGGGGACCGTTTCTTTCAGAAGTGATATAACCGCTTGGGAATTAGTGGTGAAGGATGGAAACTCTGTGAATTCATTAAAAACCACTGAAAGCCGGGAGCGGTGGCGCACGCCTGTAACCCCAGCGGTTTGGGAGGCGGAGGCAGGAGGATCGCGAGTTCAAAGCCAGCCTCAGCAACTTAGCGAGACCCTGTGTCTAAATAAAATATCAAAAAGGGCTGGGGATGTGGCTCAGTGGTTGAGCACTCCTGGGTTCAATCCCCCAACCCCCCCCAAAACCCCAAAAATCACTGAAGCCAGGAGTGGCAGTACCCACCTCTAACCCCAGTGACTGAGGCCGAGGCAGGAGGATCACGAGTTCAAGGCCACCCTTAGCAACTCTCTAAGACATTGTCTCAAAATAAAAAAAAATAAGTAAATAAATAAAAGAGCTGGGGATGTGGCTTCATGGTTATGCACCCCTCGGTTCAATCCCCAGTACCAAAAAATAAAAATAAATAAATAAAATAAAATAAAAAGTGCTGTGGACGGGAGCTCAGGGCAGAGTGCTCAGGGTTTGTGAATTTCTGTATCAGTAAAACTGTCTTTTTTTTTTTTTTAAATCCAGGTCGCCTCTGAGATCTACAGAAGCACAAGCGAAGACCCACATACCACGCACTTAAATATTTAAAAAGCAAGCAAACAAGCTGTTAAATAAAGTATGTCCTCTCCTCTTGCCTTGAAGAATATACCTTTATAGTGGCAAAATGAAGAAGTGCGTCTGAAGCTCTGTTTTTTATATGCTGGAACTCTTTCGTATTTGGGTATTCTGTGGATGCACCGGCTGGGTTTAGACAAGGGGTGAAATAAAGACATACATAATTCATAGATTATTATTGTCTTAGTCCATAAAGATATTCATGCTTTTGTTTCACCAAAATTATTAATTTGTGTTCCAGTGACAGGATGAGCCAAAAGACGAAAGAAATGAAATACGGTTTTTATGAAAAAAAGATACATCATAGTAAATGTAAAGTCTTGCAAACATTTTTTTTTCCAAAATGGGATCTTTCTAGAACATTCAAAGTCATTTGCTGAAAGGAGAAGGCAAAAAAACAAATTATAATCAATGATTTGTATTTGAAATCATCACTTTTCTAATAAATACAACAGTCTGAAATCATCACTTGAAATGAAATCCAAATTTTTATTTTTCTCTGAAACTGTAATAGAATCTTGTTTGCCATTTGGGGAAACAAGATTCTATTCTTATAATTATTCGACAAGATTCTTATCGGCATTTGTAGTGTTCAGTGCCCATGTAGTTGGTGATATAAAGAATCAGCATCACATTTTATGCATGTTATATCTAAATTTATATATACAAATATAAGAGTAATAGGATCTGTTTAAACATTGCAAAAGGTCCTTCAGCCGCTGTGGGCATCATTGTAGATATTGCATTAATTCACAAGAATCTCTGGAACCAAGACTTGGTACATGAAGAAAAGCAAGAAAATGGACATTTGACTCTGCTGAGAAAAGTCACTGGTTTGCAAAAATCGATCACATCTCTGTTCTCCCAGGGGAGGAGTTGACAAGTTAATTCATTTGTCTTTTCAATGTGTTAGTCAGCTTTGTGTTACTGTAACAAAATACCTGAGATCATTAACTCACAAGAGAAAAAGGTGTGTTTTGGTCACAGTTTTGGAGGTTTCATGGTTCCCCTGGTTAGTTGGCCCCCTTGCTTTTGGGCCAGGGGTGGCCATATGTCACGGCTAGAGCACTGAGCGGGGCAAGCTGCTATCTCTTGGTGGCTGAGACGAGAGAGATAAGGCGTAGCCCCCCTGTGCCTGTCAAGGGCACCCCCATGGCCTCAGGCCTCCCACTGGGCCTCAACTCTAAGTTTCCACCAGCTCCCAAGAGTGCCCGCTGGGCTGAGCCTGTAGCCCCTGGGCCTGGGGGACATTTAAGGTCCTAAGCTCAGCCCTCAGTGAAGCACTTCCACTCCCCGTCCCAGGAAGCAGCGGCCGAGCCCTCAATCCCCCCACGGCATCTGACCCACATCGCCTTGTGCATCCAGGACGGAGCAAGAGAGAAGAGGCGCCGTGGTCCCCTGGGCCACCCCCCCCTCACCCAGCAGGGGTTGGGGGTGGTGTGACGGTGGCCAGCACTGGGCTTGGGGCCTGGTGCATCTTCCCCTGTGCACGTGGCCCTGCCCAGCGGGTTCGTCCTCGCCTGGCGGGTGCTCCTCAGGAGCTCTGCGGTCTAGCTCCAGCCTCAGGGACCGGGCTCCAGGCCCAGCTGGGCCTGGTCCTTCTTTGAACAGCCTGAGTCTCCCTGCCGCTGCCCCCCTTGCTGCACCCTCCATTCAGGCAACGATCCCTGGGGTCCCTCCCGCCCTCGGCCCAGCCCCACTGCCCGAGTGGCCCCTCTCCGGCCTCGTGCTTCACCGGGCCTTTGCACGTGCCGGTTCTGTCTCCGGAACACTCTCCCTGCTTCTTGCTCGGCCTCTCCTTCTCTTCCTTTGGTCTGAGTCTCCCGTCCTCCATGTCGGGTCGGGGGGTGCCCGCCCCTGGGCCCCCCACCTCTTGGGGCTCACCTGGAGCAGAGGCCAGAAGGGGCAGGGGCCTGCTGCCCACTCACCTCTTCATCTCCAGACGAGGCCCTGGGCCGCGGGCCAAGCTGGCTGAGCCGGGGGAGCCACGCAGAGGGGGCTCGGAGCAGCTGACCCCCTCCTCCGCTTGCTCCCTTCTCCCTGCAGGTGTCTCGGGGGACTCCGAGGGGCAGTGGTTCCGGTGGACGGTGCCTTGTGGTCCCCTAAGACCTGAGAGCCGAGGCCTGGGGCCCTGGAGACGGAGTCCTCGCTGCCGGGCTGACCACGGCCCTCTGACGCCCTCCCTGCTGGGCCCCTCTGGCAGCCCGGCTCCCCCCACCAAGCCCAGCTCTCAGCTCCTCCAGCCCAGCCCAGCAGGGTGACCAGGAGACTCAGTGGACACCTGCCCTCCCACACTGCCCTTGGCCAAGACACCAACGATGGAGCTGGAGCTGTGGGTGAGGGCGTCGGAAGGTGACTCTGAGCCACCCGCTCAGGTCCAACGCCCGTCTCTCCTCCTAGGAGCTGTGGGAGCCATTGTGAGACTCGGTTTTCCTCCGCTGCACAGTGGGCACAGTCGGGTTTCTACCTCAGTGTCGCCGTGAGGACTAAATGAGATAGTGCTTCAGACAGAGAGGACGGCATGTCCCTGATACCTAGGGTCACTGTCATCGAAATCAGGACACAAGATGATCATCATCATGAGCTTGTAGAAACCTGATGTTTATTATTCATTCATCCTCCAGCCGGTTAGTCAGTCAACAGGTGTTCAATAGTGTCACCATGTCACAGGCTCCAAACATCCTAAAGTGTCCTAGAGCAGTGGGGACATCCACAACCAGGTTCCAATTGGTGTCACAGGGAATGCATTTGTCAAAGAAAACCTGAAAACTGTGACTTAAACACTTCGGGTCTTCTCATCTAACAAGGAATCTGGAGGTGAGGGTCCCAGGGCCGGAGCGCTGGTGTCCAGATGTCTTCCAGCCTCCTATGTCCCCCGTTTTAGATGTTGACTTTCAATCTTGTAGTGCCGTAATGGCTGCTGCACCTCCAGGCATCACATGTAGATTCCTGCAAGATAAAGAGGGGTTGAGACCTAAAGGAATCTGCTAGCCCAGTCAGCCCCTTATTTAAAAAAGCAAAGACTCTCTTGGAACCCTGAGTGGTCAACAACTTCTGTTTAGGCTTCGCTGGTCAGCCAGAAAGTGAAGAAGCTGATCCATCAACAGGGATGGGAGCCATGACATTTTGGAACAAAACTAGAGTATGGTTAGCAAGTAGAGAGGGAGGGAATAGTAATCAGGTGGGCAATCAAGAGTCTGCAGAGCCACACAGCGGAGGGGGCTCTAAGTACCTCATCTGCCATCCTGGAGATAGATATTCAGAGAGGGCGAATGACTTGCCAAGATCACACAGCAAAGCAAGGGCAGGACTGGAACCCAGGCCTTCTGAGGGCACAGGCTCAACTCCGTCCACCACCCCCAACGTGGTGCGGCTCCATGGTTGACCAGGCCCCGGACGGACCGGGAGGTTGGGTCCACTCAAGTTGCCGGCACCCAGCAGCCCTTGAGGGAGGCAGATTGGCCACAGTGGGTGCAAGCGGCCTTCCTGTTGTCACCGACCCTCCAGGGCAGAGCCGCTCCTGGGGTGGCTAGCTGGCAGGCGGCTAATTACCCTGTCACCCGCGCTCTTCCAGGAGACAGCTATGGAATCCGCCCATGGGCTGGGGGGGCGGCCCTGTCCTCCACCCCTGGGAGGCTGGCACTGTGTAGGGGGAAGGGTGACGACGGGACAGCCAGGGAGGGAGGCAGGGAGGGGAGCCACTGCGGTGGGGACAGTGAGGGAGGGCCGGGGTGGGGGGGGGCCAGGGCGCCAGGCACCGGGGGGGCCACCTCCACCCCGACCGCCCAGGGAGAGAGTGAGCCCAGGGCAGGCTCCTCCTATTGGCCAGTCTCCAGCCTCCCTGGGAGAGGCCCTGGGGACACCCCACCAGGTGACCACGGCAGGTCAGAGGGGGGTGCTTCTGCATGACTCTGGAAGGAGGGAAGGCATCCCCGGGGGACCCCTGAGCAAAGGCCGCGGGTCCCCAGCAGGTCAGGGCCAGCGCGCTGCCTGGTCCCGTGCGGGCAGAGGGGGTCCAGGTGGGGACCCTTCTACAGCCCTGCTGGGAGCCCCTCGCAACTAGGGGCCCCTTCTCCTGCCCAGGTCCCAGGGGAAGGGACCAGGTCCGGAGTCACACTGGGAAGCGGAACCAGGACTCGATCTCGGGTCACCTCACTTCAAATCCCTGACCTTCCCCACTCCCGTGGGCTGGCTTCGCTGCTCACCTGCGCTGGGCGCTGGCTGAGGGGCGGGAAGAGCCCTGCGCACCAGACCCGGGAGCCCCCGCGGGTCGGAGCAGGAGGACGGCTGTGGCCTGGTGTGTGCGAAAGGACCCGGTTCTTCTTCTAAAGGGTCCCGGCCCCAGATCCTCTTCCCCTCTTGGCCCTCTGCCTGGGGCAGCGCTTATGAGCGCGGCGCCTGGTCCAGTGGCCTGGGTTTGGATCTCCTCCCCGCCTTCGACCAGCCTCTGCCCCCGTTTTCTGGTCTGGGAAGTGGGCACAGTAGCTCCGGAGCGGGCAGCCCAGGGGGATGTAGCAAGACCCACGAGGCGAGGTGCCCGGCGGGGTGGCGCTGGCCTGCAGTCCCCGGGACTGGGGCGACTGAAGTGGGAGGATCTGCCGAGCCCTGAAGTTCAAGGTCAGCCTGGACAACATAGCAAGACCCTGGCTCCACAAACAAACCAGCAAAAAACCAGAGCCAGACAGGTAGTGACCAATGATAAGGGCCAGCTACGGCGGCCCGACGTCCGTCGCTGTGCACGCCCCTGTTAACCTGCCTGCTCCTCCTTCCATCTGGCGCGACCTCCCCAGCTCCAGCAGCTCCAGGACCCTAACTCGCTCCGCGCTCGAGTCCTCGGGCTGCCCTAACAAATGACCAACCGCAAACTGGACACCTTAAACCTGCAACCGGGAGCTGCCTCACAGCTCCGGAGGCCAGAAGCCTGACATCCAGGGTCTGCAGGGCCACCCTCCCACCAAGACCTGCAGGAGACTCCTCCCTTCCCGTCCCGGGTGAGCCCTGGCCTGTAGGTCCAGGGCTCCAGTCTCTGTGCCTGTTGTCACCTGGTGTCCTGTGTCAGGGCCCTCCTGCCGCTGGCCGTCTTCCCTCTTCTTGAAGACACGGACCTAAGAGATGAAGGGCCAGTCCACCCCAGGAGGACCGCACCTTCACCTGTCACATCTGCAACGCCATATCTCCAAGTAAGGTCACATCGTGATGTGCTGGGACACCGGCTTCCGCATACCCTTTGCGGGGAACGTGGTTCAATCCATGACGCGTTCCAAAGCTCCCCAGCATGTGGCCAGAGGACACCTGTGGGGGTGACTGCAAAAATGAATATATGGTCCTTGCCCTTTGACCCCGGGGCAGGTGTCCCAGCTCCTGGGGTCAGAGACGGACCCTGATGTCCCGGGGGCCAGAGACAGATTTTCATTTAAATGTATCTTGGGGGGATTTGCTCACTCCGTGGGTTGACCAAGCTGCTGGGGACAAGAGTCCTCTGGGGACCTGGGTGGCTGGGGAGAGGTTTCCTCCTGTCACTCTGGGAGCCCAGAGACGCTCCGTGGGCTCAGCTCGGCTGCCACTCAGCACAGACAGGGAGTCCCTGGGGGGCCGTCTCAGCAGCCAAGGGCGATGATGTCTCGGTGACACTGCTAATCTGGGGACCCAAGCTGTCATGTGTCAGGCAGTGACTCGCAGTGGGGGGCACAGGGAGTCCTGCGGCAGGTGGGCAGCTGATTCTGAGTCAGGGGACAGCCAGGGGACAGTGAGCCGAGGGAGGAGAGGACAATCTGGGGACTGCCCAACAGCCCCTGCCCTGGCTGCCCGCCTCCAAGGCTGGCAGGCGTGGCCAGCCCCGCTGAGCCGAGGCCTGGGGAGCAGGCGGAGGAGCAGCGGCTGTAAAGGTCAGCGGCCCCTGGGGCCGGGCAGGCCACGATGCAAATGTGGAATTTACACTCCGGGAGGCCGAGGCTGCGCAGGCCGCAGGGTCCCCACCAGACTGTCTGGGAGGAGGCCCCGGGTCCGTGGGGAGGTCCCTCGTCCTCTGGACCCGGGCTCCCTGCCCCGTGGTTGAGACCCCCTGGCCAGCACGGCGGGGCCAGCCGGCCACTCACCCTCCTCCCCCGTCCTGCGTCACCCGGTCTTTCAGGCCCAGTGGCTTCCCGTGAGACCTTGCTGACCCCACGACCTGGGGGGGACGGCAGCCACAGGGCCACCAGGTGCCTGAGGCTGTCCTCTGAGCCTCTTAACCCGCCATTGTCACCCTCGGCCCAGGAGAGGAGGCCAGAGCTGGAGGAGAAAGTGCCCGAGGGATCACACCAGGGGAGGCAGAGCGGGGGGCGCGCCCTGTCACCCCGGGAGCAGGGCTGACATACCCCTGGTCACCTGCCTGCACCCGACTTAGCCACGCAGGCCCGGACGGCAGTCCTCAGGCCTCACCAGGCTCCGAGCACCACAGTGTGTGTGTGTGTGTGGGGGGGGGGTGCATGTGTGGTTTGTGTGTGATGTGGAGTGTGTGCATGTGGAGTGTGATGTATTGTGATGTGTGAGTGTGTATGTGCACACGAGTGTGTGGTGTGTATGCCCAAGTGCATGTGTGTGTGTTTGTGTGGTGTGTGTGTGTGTGTGTGTGTGGTACATGTGGTATGGTATGCATGTGTGGCGTGTGCATGGAGGGTGTGTATGTGTGTGATATGTGTGGTGTGTGGTGTCAAGAGTATGTGTGGTGTGTGTGGTTTGTGTGTGTCTGGTGTGTAACGTGTGCATGTGCTGTGTGTATGCACACACAAGTGTGTGGTGTGTGCACATGTGCATGTGTGTGTGTGTTTGAGTGGTATTTGTGTGTGGTATGTGTGTGTGGTGTGTGGTGTGTATGTATGTGTGGTGTGGTATGTGCATGGTGTGTGTGATATGTGTGGTGTGTGGTATTTGTTGTGTGTATGGTCTGGTGTGTGGTGTGTGTGTGGCATGTGTGAGTATGCTATGTGTTGTATGTGTGCTGTGTGCATACACATGCATGTGTGGTTTGTGTGTGTGTCTGGTGCATAACATGTACATGTGGTGTGAGTATGTGCAAATGAGTGTGTGGTGTGTGAGTGTATGCACATGTGCATGCACATGCCCATGTATGTGTGGTGTGTGTGGCATGTACATGTGTGGTGTGTGGTATGCTGTGGTGTGTATGGTGTGCGGTGTGGTGTGTGGTGTGTGGTGTGTGTTGTGTGGTGTGGTGTGGTGTGGTGTGTGGTGTGTGGTGTGGTGTGTGGTGTGTGGTGTGGTGTGTGGTGTGTGGTGTGGTATGTGGTGTGGTGTGTGGTGTGTGGTGTGGTGTGGTGTGTGGTGTGGTGTGTGGTGTGTGGTGTGTGGAGTGTGGAGTGGTGTGGTGTGGTGTGGTGTGTGGTGTGGTGTGGTGTGGTGTGTGGTGTGTGTGGTGTGGTGTGGTGTGTGGTGTGTGGTGTGGTGTGTGGTGTGTGGTGGTGTGGTGTGTGGTGTGGTGTGTGGTGTGTGGTGTGTGGAGTGTGGAGTGGTGTGGTGTGGTGTGGTGTGTGGTGTGGTGTGGTGTGTGGTGTGGTGTGGTGTGTGGTGTGTGTGGTGTGGTGTGGTGTGTGGTGTGTGGTGTGGTGTGTGGTGTGTGGTGGTGTGGTATGTGGTGTGGTGCGTGGTGTGTGGTGTGGTGTGTGGTGTGTGGTGGTGTGGTGTGTGGTGTGGTGTGTGGTGTGGTGTGTGGTGTGGTGTGGTGTGTGGTGTGGTGTGTGGTGTGGTGTGGTGTGTGGTGTGTGGTGTGGTGTGTGGTGTGGTGTGTGGTATGGTGTGGTGTGTGGTGTGTGGTGTGTGGTATGGTGTGGTGTGTGGTGTGTGGTGTGGTGTGGTGTGGTGTGTGGTGTGGTGTGTGGTGTGTGGTGTGGTGTGTGGTGTGGTGTGGTGTGGTGTGTGGTGTGTGGTGTGTGGTGTGGTGTGTGGTGTGGGGTGTGGTGTGATGTGTGGTGTGTGGTGTGTGGTGTGGTGTGTGGTGTGTGGTGTGGGGTGTGGTGTGTGGTGTGGTGTGTGGTGTGTGGTGTGTGTGGTGTGAGGTGTGGTGTGTGGTGTGGTGTTTGGTGTGGTGTGTGGTGTGTGGTGTGGTGTGTGGTGTGGTGTGTGTTGTGGTGTGGTGTGTGGTGTGGTGTGGTGTGGTGTGTGGTGTGTGGAGTGTGGAGTGTGATTGTGTTGCAGCTGTGTGGTGTGTGTGGTGTGGTGTGGTGTGGTGTGTGGTGTGGTGTGGTGTGTGGTGTGTAGTGTGGTGTGTGGCGTGTGGTGTGTGGTGTGGTGTGGTGTGTGGTGTGTGGTGTGGTGTGTGGTGTGTGGTGTGTGGTGTGTGGTGTGGTGTGGTGTGTGGTGTGTAGTGTGGTGTGTGGCGTGTGGGTGTGGTGTGGTGTGGTGTGTGGTGTGGGGTGTGTGGTGTGTGGTGTGGTGTGTGGTGTGGTGTGGTGTGTGGTGTGTGGTGTGGTGTGGTGTGTGGTGTGGGGTGTGGTGTGTGGTGTGTGGTGTGGGGTGTGGTGTGTGTCGTGGTGTGGTGTGTGGTGTGGTGTTTGGTGTGGTGTGTGGTGTGTGGTGTGGTGTGTGGTGTGGTGTGTGTTGTGGTGTGGTGTGTGGTGTGGTGTGGTGTGTGGTGTGTGGAGTGTGGAGTGTGATTGTGTTGCAGCTGTGTGGTGTGTGTGGTGTGGTGTGGTGTGTGGTGTGGTGTGGTGTGTGGTGTGTGTGGTGTGGTGTGGTGTGTGGTGTGTGGTGTGTGGTGTGGGGTGTGGTGTGTGGTGTGGTGTGTGGTGTGTGGTGTGTGGTGTGGTGTGTGTTGTGGTGTGGTGTGTGGTGTGGTGTGGTGTGTGGTGTGTGGAGTGTGGAGTGTGATTGTGTTGCAGCTGTGTGGTGTGTGGTGTGTGGTGTGGTGTGGTGTGTGGTGTGGTGTGGTGTGTGGTGTGTGTGGTGTGGTGTGTGGTGTGTAGTGTGTGGTGTGGTGTGTGGTGTGGTGTGTGGTGTGGTGTGGTGTGTGGTGTGTGGTGTGTGGTGTGGTGTGGTGTGGTGTGTGGTGTGTAGTGTGGTGTGTGGCGTGTGGTGTGTGGTGTGGTGTGTGGTGTGGGGTGTGTGGTGTGTGGTGTGGTGTGTGGTGTGGTGTGTGTGGTGTGTGGTGTGGTGTGGTGTGTGGTGTGGGGTGTGGTGTGTGGTGTGTGGTGTGGTGTGTGGTGTGTAGTGTGGTGTGGTGTGTGGTGTGTGGTGTGTGGTGTGGTGTGTGTCGTGGTGTGGTGTGGTGTGTGTTGTGGTGTGGTGTGGTGTGTGGAGTGTGGAGTGTGATTGTGTTGCAGCTGTGTGGTGTGTGGTCCTGAGGACTGAGCCTGGACCCTGGGCCACATGGGCGCCTGGCTGGCTGGGTGACCTTGGGCACTTGGCCTGGCCTCTCAAC